CCCCCTCCTCCTCCTCCTCCTCCTCCTCCTCCTCCTCCTCCTCTGCAGTCAGAGGATGTTGTTCAATTAGAAACGCCTTTGCCCCTTTTTCCTAGGCAATCAACCCTGCTCCTCTCCATCCAGAGCATCTTCCTTCTTTCTCAGTCTCCCTGTGGGAGAGTGTATAGGATGGGATCACGTTTGTGCACCAAGAATCCCGAACGCCAGCATCACCGTCAATTACGGTCTTTCCCATCTCCTCGGGGTCTTTCAAAGCCGTTTCCCCCTCTTTTGACAGCTCTCAAAACAGCGGCTTCCCCGTCTTCCGACTTGGGGCCCTTGAAAGACTGCATCAGTGTTCTCTTCAGCTTCACCCGTCGGGCGACTGAGGACCCACAGTTCCAGAGTGACGTTCTCTCGTGGCTTCGGAGGCTGGTGAGCAACCTCGTTTTATCGCCATCCAGGTCCCAATTCGAAGCCGGAGTAGAAGGGTGAATTTCAGGGAGTCCTGAGGCCTGGGTTAAGAGGAGCCTGTCCTTAATCTGGATTGGTTGTTTGGACTATGCATCCACTAGATCAGCCGTCTCCAACCTTGGCCACTTTAAGGCTTGTGGACTTCAACTCCCAGAATTCACCAGCCAGCTGGGGAATTCTGGGAGTTGAAGTCCACAAGTCTTAAAGTGGCCGAGGTTGGAGACCCTTGCTCTAGATCAGTGGTTCTCAACCTTTTTAATGCCGCGACCCCCAACCGGTCGTAAGTCGAGGACTAAACCAGTCGTAAGTCGAGGACTACCCAATTGGTCGTAAGTCGAGGACTTTCCCTGCCCGGGAGTGCCACACAGGCGTGGTTCCGCCCCCTGCGCCGGCCGAGGCGTAGCTGGCAAGCAGCAGAGACGGAGGAGGCCGACCACCAGCTGGCCCAGCCCAAGGGAGGTAAGGCACCCGCCAGAAAAGGGAAAAAAATGTTGGACAAAAAAAATGGCGGACAGCCTTGCTTGGCGACCCCCGTGAAATGGTCGATCGACCCCAAATGGGGTCGCGACCCATAGGTTGAGAACCGCTGCTCTAGATCAGGGGTCCCCAACCTGTGGGCTGTGGGCCGATAGTGGACCATGGCCTGCTGGCCACTGGGCTGCGGGACAGGCTGGCCAGTGTGCACTCACACCCTCATTTGCGCTAGCGCCGCAGGGTGCAAAAATGGGCCGACATTGCACCCCGGGGTGCGAAAATGGGCGCCTTGGGGTGTGAAAACAGGCCGCCGTCACACTTCAAGGCGCAAAAATGGACGCTGCTTCACCACAAGGTGCGGAAATGGGCCACCGCAGCGCCATGGGGCGGAAAAACAGAGCACCGCTGTGCCATGGGGTGGAAAAACCGGCTGCCGCGACGCTGCAACGTGCAAAAACAGCCGTCGTGGCGCCACAAGGCGCAGGAAGGAGGTGCTGCGCCACGCAAGAACAGGACAGGGCTAGCGAGTATCACGCGGGCGGCCTCGTGCATACGCGCACGCACGCATGTATAATGCTTCCCCCTCCCGTTTCCTCCGGTCCACCAACTGACAAAGGTTGGTGACCTCTGTTCTAGATAGATGTTTCCTAACCTCCGTGACTTGATGTGTGGACTTCAATTCCCCAAAACTCCGCAGCCGGGGAATTCTGCAAATTGAAGTCCACAAATCTTCAAGTCGCTGCAACCAGTAAACACTGCTCTGGCTGAAAGGGGGAACCAACTTTAGCAGGAGTGTTTGTGCTTTAAAAAAAAAACAACAACCCTAATTTTGTGTGTCAGGGACACAGATCCATAGGCACTAAGATGACAGTAGTCCAATAAGGCTTTTTTTTTTAAAGAGCAACCTCTGATGAATTTCTGGCATTGTAGTCCTTTTGGGGAGGGCTGGGCTTGCTTTGAGCACCTGAGAAAATCAAAGGCCTTGCATTGAATTTGACTTCCGCTGACTTCACGGGGACTTGTTCACCTGCTTTTCTCAACAGCTACGCAAAGGGGTCCCAAAGGTGCTTTTTCCAAAAAGGCAAGTGGAATTTCTGGGGTGTGTTTTTTTTCCCCCTCCTCTTGGAGAACATTTTGCTTCTCATCCAAGAAGCTTCTTCAGTTCTTGCAAAGAAAAAAAACACCAGAGAAAGTTCACTTGCCTTTTGGAAAGGGGGGGAAAAAAAGCATTTTTGGGATAATCACAAGCTGGATGATCGAGAAGCTCCACAGACCTATAGACAATTTTGGTTCCCACTGTCATTTTTGGGGTGTAGACTTAGTTGAGTCCATTGCTCTAGGAATGTCTGTTGGTCTCTCATCCTGGTATAAACCAGGCTCTTACCTTGCTTAGCTTCCAAGGTCAGATGAGGTTGCCCAATGCTGCTGCAGACTTTTAATAAACGGATAGCAACGGTGCTGGTATTGAACGTGATTTTCCTCCATTCCAGGTCGCCCTCTTGCAAAGAGTGGCTTCTCCAGGAGACCATCTTTTCCTCTTAAACCACATCCTCCGGTGTCCAGCCAGCGTCTGCGAGTGGGCTGCTCCATTTGTCCAGGTGCAGATGTTTGATTTACTCTGTAAGGGCCTCGGCTGTGGGTTGGTTTGTTTTTATGATGGAGAAAACCTTTGTGGTTGCTTGGGAGTCCAAATATTTATTATTATTATTATTATTATTATTATTATTATTATTATTATTGTTGTTGTTGTTGTTGTTGTTATTGATTTGTAACATTTTATTAGATTATTGAGTAAATAATAAGCCATTTGATTTTTCAGATACTCGTGAAATCTACCTGGACATAGATAGAAAAGTAATCTTTTTAATTTGAAGGGAAAAAAAAGTGTTTTGGTCAAGATAAATGTTTTGCATAGTACTCAATACAGTTGTATAATTACAAATTTCAGAATTCGGAAAATTCAGCATCTGTGACATTCGGCTTCAAGTTTGTGCTATTTTATTTTATTTTATTTTATTTTATTTTTATTTTATTATTTTATTTTATTTTATTTTATTTTTTTATTTTATTATTTTATATTTTATTTTATTATTTTATTTTATATTTTATTATTTTATTTTATTTTATTTTATTTTATATTTTACTAGCTGTACCCGGCCACGCATTGCTTTGGCTCAGTCTGGTTAAATGGAAAAGAAAGAAAAGAGAAAGCGCACATTTGTAATTGCTTTTACGTCCAACAGATGGCGCTGTTTTTCAAAAAAAGCATGTTTTTACCTGTCACAGGTGTGACATCTATATAATAGTAGGTATATAAAAACACGCGCGTATTCGAATGCAATGTTGTGTCAAAATTTCAAAGCAATCGGTGAAGAACTTTCGGAGATTTAAGATTTTGAACAAACGAACATTTACATTTTTATTTACCGTATATTCCGGCGTATAAGACGACTGGGCGTATAAGACGACCCCCAACTTTTCCAGTTAAAATATAGAGTTTGGGCTATACTCACCGTATAAGACTACCCCTGTTCCAACGCACACCAAATAAAAATTAAAAAACAGATTTGATTTCAATATGGTAATTTTAATTCAAATGCTTATGACATGCAGGTACTTAGC